TTTGTTTATTTAAGGGTCTGATTGATCTGTTGAACATGTAACAGATAATTTAAGGGTCTCTATCAAATTTTTGGTTGGATTTGCCAAATTTGATTTAAACTTTAATATTGACATAGATTGGTTAGATATAAAAATCTTGAATGTGATATTTAATGTTTATTTTTTATTGTATCAATTAATTTTTTTCTATTAAATTGATTTTTTATTGCATTAGTAAAAAACAATTTTTATCGTGGTAATTTGGATTTTTTTCGAAAAATCTTCAATTTGATATCTGAATTTAAAAAAAACGAGATTTGAAATTAAAAATATATTTTATTGCATTAATTTTAGAAAAGAAATGAATTTTAGTTATTTTTCTATAATTATTTTGCAAGTTGGTTTTCCAAAATAGGAATCAGGTGCAAGTTGGTTCCCCAAAATGACGATTTTGAAAGTTGATTCCCCAAAATAGGAATCTGGTCCAAGTTGGTTCCCCAAAATGACGATTTTGCAAGTTGGTTCCCTAAAATAGAAATCAGGTGAAAGTTGGTTCCCTAAAATAGAAATCAGGTGAAAGTTGGTTCCCCAAAATAAAAATCAAGTAAAATTTGGTTCCCCAAAATGATGATTTTGAAAGTTAGTTCCCCAAAATATGAATCAGGTGAAAGTTGGTTCCATTTTGGTGCAATTTCCTCTGATGTTTTTTAGTTGTTTCTTGAAGATGGTCTAATGGCAAACATGTAAAATAATTCATGATTGAGGAGAATCTTGGCAATTTCATGGAATCTGGCATCCTCCAATAAAATGTCTGCAAGACTGCAATCCACTGTAACGACGCATTCCCGTGGCTGGAATGCACGCGCCATTAATTTTCAAACTACCCCCTTGTAATTGATACTATAACCATAACTAACCCACTATATATCCAAACATAGAGATGGACGGAACATAGAGATGGACAAACGGAAGTGGGACCGAGGACTATGTCGACCAGTCGAGACCCGAATGACGATTTAGCCTTCGTTTTCTCGAAGAAGAAAAAACGTCCGTTTATGATAGGCCTTTATTTAGATTGAATAAAAGATAGTCAAATATCATAACATATTTGATCGATTATGACTTTATACATATGCCAAAGGACAGGTTAAGACGGTTTTTAGCTTAAATCTGGTTATGGATCGGCTTTGTCCTTCCGATTACCAGACTTTGCTCTTTGATGATTGGTTTAGATTTTTCAGAATCGGGCGTTATGATCGATCGTTGTGCATATCTGATTGAGACTCCCTGATGATATACAAATTCACTAAAATCATGATGATAAGTTGTCGATAATCTATGACCAAAGACTTTTAAAAAGTTTCACGATTGTGCAACCTACTTATAAAAGATGAACGGCTTTTTGTGGGTCTGTTTGTCTTTAATACGTATAAAGTGTCATCTAGAATGGATATCATATGATCAAAAATACAAATTCTCCACTTCAAAAGTGTGATAGGGTTATGTAGGTCCACACTTTGTTATAATATAGTCCTAAGATTGATCATTCAATATCATGGACGGACCTATAGTGGTGCATATAAGTTTAAAAAAAAATAGGTTCGTGAAAGGTGCAACCATATTAATTTGTTGTGTGCCACCTAATGTATTTTGAAACTGTAATGAGAACGTGTTTTATTTGGTATAGCTGGTTTGCAAGACTTTTATTCCACTTAAGACCTAATTTCGAATTATGTTAGTGTCATTTTCTTAATCAAATGATACCACCGTTTAAAAAAAAATTGTATATTTGTTTCTTACAGTCAAACGATGCCATCTTTTGGAAAAAAAAATGATATATTTTTTTTTCTTATAGTCAAATGATGCCACCGTTTGAAAAAAAATTCATGGGTACGTCCCTGTTCAATATTTAAAAGTAAGTATATATTTGATCATAGTATATTCTAAATCAGTTATAGCCTTTACTAATATGAAGTATCTAAAAATAAACGTTTCGTACAAATTAACCAGTCTCATCATGACATGGTTCTTTTACGTTTTTACCCTTTTACATTGATGCTAACATTTCGATTCAGTCATCACTAATTCATCGATATAAGATTCGTAAAGATATGCAAACACAAAATACCACAAGATGTAAATATCCTTGTGATTGATGTCAGAATCAAGACTCTCTCTTTTACATACAATACAACTGCAAAATAGGGGCAAAATAGTAAAATCACATTTAAAATTAAATTTTTTTTTTGGTTAACATGTCTTTACTTTTCTCTTTTTTTTTACTTGGCATCCTTGTTAAGGGTAAAATTGGAATTTCACATTATTTTGGGCTTGTTTATGAGGTTGGGCCTACTTTCTTTCTATCTTTCTTTTCGGTTCTCCATTCGTCTTTATGTCTGGATATGAAACGATCAGCCTTCGCATTCAAGTCTGGGCTACTGGAAGTGGAAGATATTGGGCTGGGCCCAAATGAATCTCCACCGTCGATTATAGTTGACGGAAGATCATCACGATCTGGTGAACTAAAATCTGAACTATGGACGCTCCGTTGCCTAACATAATTCCCGCGGAGTTCGAATTTCATTGCCGGCAACTTGAACGGCGGCGGAGGGGGTGGGAGTGGAATGGGCGACGACTGTGAGCTGCTGGAAAGGAATTCGTCACTGTCATGGTGATTGCTTGCTTTTGTTGGTAGAGGCGGTTTGTGTGTGCTTGCCGGACGTCGGCGGAGAGGTTCTGACGGTTGCGACGGTGGATATGGAGGTTGAATTGGGATCGTACGTTTAGATTCTTGCTTCACTGCCGAAGTCAACTGATCTGATTTCGGTTGCGACGGTGGAGGTTGAACGGTGGACTGCGATGATGAAGCGGCGGAGGATGAATTTAAACCATTGCTTCCCGTTGCAGTATTGGAATAATCATTGGTGGCTGAAGGCGGTGGTGGATAGTTGTCTGATGAAGGAAATCGCTTGTTTTTACCGCCGGATTTGAATAAGGTGTTGAAAATGGACTTCGTTGGAGGAGGAGGCGGTGGCGGCGGCGGTGCCCTTGCAGGAACGGTGTGAATTCCCTTAGGTTTTCTTTCTTTTTTGAACATTTTTTGGAACATAGACGCCGTGGGAGGAGGTGGCGGCGGCGGTGGCGGTGGCGTTTTTTGTATAAACGGATTGGACGGTTGTATATCTCTCGATTTCTGTCTGTTCGTTCGCTTTCTCTTCTTCTGATCATCCAATGAAGCTATCGTCGGCGCCATTTCCTTCTTATCCTCTCTTGCTTCCCGATTCGCCAGCGGCGGCGATGGACGCGGAGGTGGATAAATGTGGGAGCCTTCATGTAACGTATTAATTTGACTTGTAACTTGGACGGTTTGATCAAGCCCTACACTTCTGGAGGTTCTCCGCCTTCTTGACTCGACGGAAACTGGTGGATCCGGAGCCGGAGCTCGAGCTGGTGGTGGTGGAGGACGCACTCGTATCGGTGATTGACGTTCTACTATAATCTCCGGGACATTTGGAACGACTTCAATACTTCCCTCTACCCGAGAATTCACTTTCCTTGCCTCACTCCGCCGAGAACGGTGGCGGATATCACCGGAGACTGGTTCAGATCGGTGATTATTCTCCTTTCTCCGTTCTCTTCGCCGTGAATGGTTATTATCGCCGTTTTCCGTCAATGGTTTCTGCCTCAAATCCGGTTTCGAGCTGCTGCTGCTGCTGCTTCTTCTCAAATCATCATCAACCTGCACCTCCGGATTCCGATTCTGATTACTTTCCGACGCACGACTGTTCACTCGATTGGTGACGTTGGGTGTGGACGGTACGGCGATGTTCTGAGCCAAAACACCGGCAATAATGGCAAATAAGAAGAGGAAAACGATAAAGGAATTCCAGTTAGATTTGACAGGTGTTGGTTTGATAATCTTTGGAATATGTAATGAGGATGGGCGGAGGAAGAGGAAGAAGAAGAGGAGCAAAGAAAGGATTACGAGGAAGAAAATGAGGATCGTCGGCTCACTGGGTGGTTGACGACGGGGATTGGTGGCGATGGGTGGCTGGAACCGGTGTGTTGACGGGGAGTGACGATCTTTGTCCATCGTATGAGTTGGGTTTTGAAAGTTGAAAGCTTGAACAAAGACAAGATATATACATGGGTTACAATACATCAAGTGTACCATTTTTTATATAGATATAAAAGATTGTTATAGCTTATTGTAAAAACTAATACTGTAGATGGTTGTTAGCGTTGTTATCAAAAACGTTTATATGGTTAAGCGTTTATTAAGTCATATTATCTTATCGGATGAATATAAAAAAGACCCACAATCTTATCTGATAAGAGCGAAACAATGATCATTAGTCTTATCCGTTAAATAAATGAAATAACTCTTATCATGATAAACGCTTACCAGATTAATTGTTATATACAATGCTTTTTGATAAACTAAAATTTTATCTAATAAATAAATAATAGTATTAAATTTTAACGATAACTGTTTTTCGAATTTATCTATTGGTTTTTATATAAGAACTTTGGTTCTTAAAGTTGATGTGAATGACAATATGCCAGGTTTTTTATATATTTTTTTGACTTTTATATTTAATATAATAATTAATATATATATATATATATATATATATTATTTTATATTTAATATAATAATTAATATATATATTAAAAAATAATAATTAATTAAATAAACTCAAACTATAAAAGATTTTTTTTTATACTTAATTACAGATTTGGT